ACTTCAAAAAGGGGGGAAAAAAAGAGTGGTTAAGATTGTGGTATAATATCTCCTTTTTAAATGTATTCTGATATTCTTGCATTTGAGCACTAAATCAAAAGATCATTTAAAGATCTTGCTTACTTGCCTATCATGTAGTTTTATCCCATCCAAAAAAAAGGGGGAAATGACCCCCGAATCACTGAAATTTACAAGTGTGTTACTTGTGTTTGCTTATTTTGATATCAAGATTTTAAACAGTTATTCTCAAGAAAAGATGTGACTATTTTAAGTGAAGAGCAAACCCCTGATGAACTTGGTTCCCTGGCCAGTTGCCTCAGCAGGTGATGACAGATGAAAGCCCTCTGTGCCCTCCAGGGAGCCTGGTAAGCAACCAGAATTCTTCAGATGCCTGGCAGTTGCATCTGGGTCTCTACTGCAGGCTCACCTCAAGTAGGCCTTGGAGCTGGGGACAGTTACTGCTCTGCACCAAGAGAAAAGCTGCTCAAAAGTTCTTTGATTCTTTGAACTTAAGTGAGTGGATCAAAGAAATAAGAAATCATCACTTCACAGTGAACCAGATTTTCAAGAGCCAGTTGAATACTGTTATGGTTTCAATCTTAAATGTCCCCAAAGGCCCTAAACTAAGGGTTTGTTTTTCAGTCTGTGGTGTTGCTGGAGCATGGCGGAATCTGTAGGAGAAGGGTAGGTCACTGGGGGAGATATTGGACCTGGCCTCTCTCTCTCTCTTGGGCTTGCTGGCTCCTCTGACGAAGTGAGCAGCCTTCTCTGCCATGTGACCTGACTATGACATACTGCTTTGCCATGGCCCCAAAACAAAGAAGTCAATGAACTATACACTGAAACTATGAGCCAAACCTTTCTTCCTCCTATATTTGCTCGGGTATTTTATTACACTAATGGAAAGCTAGTTAACAAATACCATTCCTGTTGCCAATCTACTATGCAAGCCTGAGCACATCACTCAGCCTCTTTCCAGATTAAGGTGCTGTCAATCAGCCTAGGGTTTTTTTCCTCTTGATTCAGATGGAAATCATGAGTTGGCAAAGTGCATCTCTGCTAGCAGTCTGATGTCACTGGGTGATATTAGGCAATGCTGGATGCCAATCGTTGACACAGCCAGCTGCTGATCACTGTCACTGTCACTGCTAGCTGTTACCATATGATGCTGGGTGCTGGTCTCTGAAATTACCTGATGTTAACATCCCTGAGTGGGTTTTTTTGTTTGTTTGTTTTTTGGAAATGACTACTCTGTCTATAGTACTCAGGATTAAAATCCTAAGTACATTTACAGGACTTCTGGAGCCCACACTATCTGAGAAATAAATCATGAGCAGGCTCACAGAAACACTAAAGGAAGTCTTTGTTTTAACAGGGCGTATGCTGCAGCACAGGGAGATCAGTACACAGGTGGGAAGAAATAGTTGGTGGCTGCTGTTTCTATAGCAGCTTGCAGCCTGTTTCAGGGAGGGGCAGGGCTAAAAGATTGCTGTGAATGTTGGGTATAACAACAGATAAAGGACCCAGATCCCCTGACCCCTGATCGTAGCCACCCCAGGATGCCGTCTTGCTTCTAAAGGGCACCAGTATCATCTAAGTGGCCAGAGTGGGGGAGGAGCACCATGCTGCACTCACATTGGGGTGGACAATGGCAGTTTGGTAGCCAGGGAGAACACTGAAGCAAACTGTCCCGATCTATTGGGGTACAAGGGGAAGCAAGGTGAGGGACAGACAGCTGTTGGCTAAGCTACAACTCCCTCCATCTGGCAGAGGAAAAATGGGAGCCAAGTGGTTTCCATCTGCCTCAAAGGGTCCCTAAATGGCTGATGGGCAGAGACACATGGAAGCAATAGTGCTGAGCACATTGCAAATAGGAAGCAGAGTCCATTTAGAGAACATGGGCTCTGAAATCAGAGAGCTGGGATTCAAGCCCAGGCTCTGCTGCTTATGAGCAGTGTGACTTTTTGCTATGAAATTCTTAGTCTTAGTTTCCTTGTCAATAAAATGAGGCTAATGATGGACTCCATAGATTGTTGGGAAAATCAAGTGAGTTTATGAGAAAAAGCTTCGTAAACTTTAAAACTCATGTAATAGTTCTCTGTATTTGAGGGGCTTACACACTGACATTTATTTTCTCACAGTTTTGGAGGCTACAAGTCTGAGATTAAGGTGTTAGCAGGGTTTGTTTCTCTGCAAACCTCTCTTCTTGGCTTGTAGATGGCCACCTTCCCTCTGTGAGCATCTGTTTCCTAATCTTCTGTGAAGTCACAAGCAGTGTTGGATTAGGGCCACCTTAATGGCCTCATTTTGACTTAATTACCCCCTTAAAGACACTGTCTCCAAATACATTCATGTCTGAGGTCCTAGGATTTATGGCTTCTATGTAGAAATTCTGGAGGACACAACTCAGCTGATAACAGAGCAATATAAATGTTTCTCTGGATTTATCCAGGACTGCTTGTCATATGCATTTAGAACCCAGCAGGGGACAGCTGGCCAAGAGGCAGGAGGAAGCACCTGCCAAAACTCTGGGCTTTTCCTTGCTGGCTCAGGGCTGTGATCTTCCAAGGCCATGCTGCCTCTGGTCTCCTTTAGCAAATAAATGAGCTGTCTTCCTTTTGGCTTGGAATACTTTATTGTAGGAAAGAAGTTGTCAAATGCTTTACAGTGACAAACTCGGGGAAAGCAGATATGCTTGGGCTGTGGGCATTTGCCTCTGTTAATGTGTGTGAGAATTTCCTCGAATACCCCTCCAAGCCCTTTTGAGGAGCCAAAGATAATTAACCATAGGGTAGCCAGGTTTCTTCCCAATTCTTACCAAGTATTTACCTGCCAGGAAAGGTCCTCAACAAACATTTATCAGGGACTTCCTCAGTGCCTCAGGCTGTTCTAAGTACAGGAAGGAATGTCCTGCTTCGCTGGATCTGTGTAGCAAACACAGTGAATACACAGGAGGGCAAAGCTGGAGGGACAGAGGCTGGGAAGTAGTCTGCCAGCCTTGGGTGCAGCGCTGAGGAGACCTCAGCCTCAGGACACCTGGTGGTTTGGCCTGCTGGGCATTCTGGCTCTGTAAGGAGTGAGGAAGTATAGCCAGGTAACCTGCAAGCCGTCCCTGAGAGTCTCAGAAGCCTACTTAGCAGTAGACAGGACTGAGTCCCAGGACTTTCAAGATGGCAGAGAGAGGGCTCAGAGGTCTTCTTGGAAATGTGGATTCCAGTTTGAGTCTGCAAGATTTACTCTTTTGCTGAATATCTAGATTTTATTCTAGCAGACAGGTTCTAGCTGCATCAGTTCAGCCCCTCTCCCCAGTGGGCATGTGTTACAATTGCCTATCCAGTTTAACTCTCACTTCTGGAAATAAAGCCCAACTTTCCCCCAGAGAACGCATTCCATGAGATTCAGGTAGGGCTGACATTCCCCCAACACAGGGAGAATGCCCGTCCTCAGCTTGGCCAATCATAGTGGCCCTCTACCCATTATCATGGTGACTGGTAAAGCTGGGCGTGTGACTTAAGCGCAGTGATCAGAGTCTGCTTCAGCATGACAAGGAAGCTAGAAGACCCCTCTGCTTTTCTCTTGGATAACAAGACCTAAGGGTGATTGTGGGGCTCTTCCAGTCATCAGTCCTCTCCAGTGGTCTAGAGGTGCAGCGGAAGAAATCATTGGGAGAAAACTATCTAGTATGCAAAGAGAAACAGCTGAGAGATGGGAAGCTAAAAGGCAACTTTGCAGAGCATCCTTGGAGCTCAGAAACCATCTCTCCTTGGGAGCTAATAAATCCCCTGCTCACATGTGCTCCTTAGGTGGTTTTCTGTCACCTTGACTGGAAGGCTTATGATTGATTGCAGCAGGATTTGTTCCAAGGCTCTCGGAGATAGTCAGCCTTTCTCATACTCAGCCCATTGTTCTGACCCTTGGCTGTGACTGTAGTTTTTATAAAACTAATTATGGGCAGGGTATGAGGAATAAATTCCTTTGGTGATCAGGGCAAAGGTTTTGCACTTTTACACAGAAATTACTACTCAGACCACTTCCCTGGGAAGCAAGCTACAGGCAAGACAATCTGTTGTTAGCTCTTGAACATTTCTATTTTTGGCCTTTAAACTCTGGTTTCTATTCCTTACTTCAAATATGTATTTTCATATCATCTCTTATAGTCTCAAGTATATCCCAGGAAGCCAATTTTGCCCCAAAGGTTTTTTCATGAATTATATGAACACCTGTGACAATGTCTTTGGGCTGTAGAGTTTACACTTTGCACTGCGTTCATGCAGATCATAGGCTTTATTTGGTGTCTTTCAAAGGCCTGTGTGGTAGAGACTTGGTCTACAGCTTGGCTCTGTTGGGAGGTGGCAGAACTTCACCTAAGGGAGTTCTGCAGGTCACTGTGGGTGTGCTTCTGAAGGACCTGACTCTCTTATTTCCTCTCCTTTTCACTTTCCAGCCATGAGGTGAACACGCTGCTCTGCTGGGTCCTCTTCACCATGATATGCTACAGTATTGCAGCCCTAAAAGCAACCAGGCTAACTAATCATGGATAGAAACCTTCAAAATTGTGAGCTCAAATAAGCCTTTTTTCTTTTTTTCTTTTTGAGACAGGGTCTCACTATGAACGTAGGATGGTCTTGAATCCATGCTGATCCTCCTGCTTCAGCCTCCTGAGTGCTGGGATTATAGATGTATGCCATTGTGCTCAGTTAAATCTTTCTTGTTTATAAGCTGATTATCCCAATTACTTGTTAATGAAAGTAATAGAACATAGAGATGGATTGTGGGGAAAGTGGAACGAAGAACTTTGACTTTAAGGCAGTATGGCCTGTCTTCATTACTGTCAATGTGGGTTCCTCAATGCATATTACTATTACCATAAGCTCCAATTTCAAATTATGTTGTGGTTAATGTCTATTTCCTATGCATGTCATTTGAGCTCAAAAACATGCCAGCTCATTTCCCTTAATGTCTTATTGCCTGCATGACCCTCATCCTGAGGAAGTCTGCGCAAGTCCCTGGCTGGTGACAGCAGGTTATATTTGGGTGTAGAGCTCAGGGAATGGCTTTCCTTCTTACATTCACTTTTGTTTAAGCTTGCAAAATGAGGGTCTCTTCTGAAGACCTAATGAACCTTTTACATGCACTTTGCAAAGGTAGTAACAGAGTCTCCCCTGAATATTTGATCTCCGGCAACCTTGGTTTCCTTTTACAAGAGGAACTTGACATTGCTGGCTCTTCTGCTGTGGAACCCTGGCTTCTTGGGTTTCTCTCCTTGCTATGTAGCACAGCATGAGGGTTGGACAAGAGCCTGACTGTCATCCTTTCCTTAATGTTTTTGTTTGTGTTACTGTCAAGTATCATATTCTTAAAGGTTGAAATCCTGTCCTTTCTTGAGAGCAGATTAGAAAAAAAAAACATGACTATGTATTACACTGCCTCTGTATGAGATGCCTTTTATTATTAATGAAGGTATCGTATTCCAGGGCACACTAGTCACTGGCTTATTCAGGTCAGGAGCTGGGAACCTTTCTGTAAGCTGTGTTTGGCCTGTAGCCTCACAGTGATGTGACTACAAAATAGTTTTCATTGTAGGTGTTCCACACACAGGCCGTGACCACAGTGCAGCGTGTGGCAGGTAGTGAAGAGAGGTTCATTTTCCAGCTTAGCTGTTAGCTTTCTGGCAGAGAGGGCAGGGAGGAGCCCTCTCTAGCAACCCCTGTGTCCCACCCTTTTGTCCTTTTGAGATGAACACTGCTCATAATTTGTGGCAGGTCTGTTCATGTGCCAGCGACTTGAAGTGCTCAACATATGTTATGTCATTTAAGCCTCAAAAGAATTTTACAGGGTAGAGAAAATTATTATCTTTATAAATAAGCAAACTGAAAGGGACATTGAAGAAATTAAAGGGCTCTTGGGAAGCCAGAGGTGGCCCTAGGCTTTGGGGAGTTTGTAGGTGGCCAGCACGCAGGTGGCCTAGGGCCCCTACTTTTTAGGAGACAGAGGTCCTGGATAGGCGCCAGGAAAGTGGCCCATGTAAGGGAGGCTCCTTAGCACGCAGCCAGACATGCTCCTCGGTGGTAGGGAAGGGGACAGACAGATCGCCTGTAGACAAAACAGCTATTGATTTAATATTAGATTTGGTGGGTTCTGTTGATTCCATTTGTTTATATAGTTTTTTGTCCATGGGTCTTCAAGATGAGCCTCAGGTAAAATTATCATTTGACTTGTTGTAATGGTTACTACTGGGCATTACACATGCTCCACAAAGCAAAAAATATCCATAGACTCTTAATATGAGCCCCTTGGGCCAGCAAGCAGAGGCTGCACTTGTTTGCTAGTCTCTGTGGTGAGTTGAAGTCTGTAATAGCTCTTAGTCATCATCCTGTCAATACAGTGTCAGTGAGCCAGGGTGAGCGCAGGTTGCAGTATGGACTCTGAAGGCCTAAAGCAAAAGCTCTTTGTCAATGTTTTGCCAGACTGTAGGGAAACCAGTAAGGAGGGGTCCGGCATGTGAGGTTTAGGGACAGCCACTCATCTTTATTTTTCAGCTGTGAGAGTTTGTTACTTTGCAGCATCCATTTCCCATCCTTTCTACCACAGAATTCATGTAAGAGTAAGAAACTGAAATATGCAAAAGACACATCTGGGGAAACGTCTGGGTCCAGGCTCACCCAGGAGAGAGGTATACTGTATTGTGGAGCTGGTACCCAGGTACAGTTGTCATTGTCAGTGTGCTCAAGACAGCTGGTGGCGATGAGAAGAAGGGTGCTGCCTTTTTCTCTGCAAGCTGGTGAGAATCCAGATGCAGCGTGGCCAGGAACAAGACCCAGTGTGCAGAACAGGGATTTGTTCTCTTGCAGGTGGTGAGTTTTCTGGAACATCTTTCTTACCTTTCCCAGAGAGTAACAGTGGCTCCTGTCTCCGTTAGCCCAGTGTCTTGGCTCAGAAGTCACTCAGTGCTGTCTTTCCCGCAGGCACACTTGGGGTAAGATTTGAACAGATTTGCCCTCAGGAGCTTTTCCATCCTGAGGCACTGGTTGCCTTTTGTCCTTGGCCTCATTTCTTCCTTTTCTTCCATTCTACTTTTGCTTCTCACCCTGCTGCACAGAACACTGTGCATCAAGTGGAAAAGGCTTCTCTGAATAGGTGTAGCCTGTGGTGGTTTGCGCGGCTTGGGGAGCAGGTAAGAGGCTGAACTCCTGTTCCCAGCTCCCTTTTCTGTGGGTGCTCTCGTGCAATGAACTCCCGTGTCACTAAGTATGGGGGCCTTGTGTATTAGTGCTTATATTTTCTTATAGGTATAAGAAAGGTATAAAGGTAAGCTTCAGAAACCTTTCCAGGAGCAACATGAGGTGTAAAACCAAAGAATCTGTGTGACAGATAAATCTGAGTAGGCTACTCTTTCTCTGCTAGGTCGAGAGGAGCAAGTGGGTCTGGAGTGAATGGTTTCTTACACCTGGTGGGTTAGGGATGCAATCCCAGAGAAGGATACTCTAGAAATGCAATATTCAAAGCAGATTGCACAGCAGGCCAGATCTCTGGTGAGAGGTGAGGCCAGGTGTAGGCAGGAATTTAGCATGGATCTTCCATCCACTCCTCATACTGGGGATTGACCTCAGGGCCTTCACACTGGGCTACATTCCAAACCCTTTTTATGTTTTATTTTGAGATCCATCTCACTAAATTGCTCAGATTAAACTCAAAGTCCTGATCCTCCTGCCTCAGCTTTCCAGAGTGCTGGGGTTACAAGGGTTGTGCTGCCACGCCCAACTCAGTATGGATTTTGAGTCCTGGATGTGAAGCTTTTGGAACAGGAAGAGGATATGTCAGATGGCAGCTGAAACACAAGAAAAGCTGTCCTTACCTGACCAGAGCCAGTGCCTTAGGAAAGGCAGGCAGGAGAACAGAGCAGAGGAGGAGGGAGGTAGTAGAGGGAGGAGAAGCAGGGTGATAATAGTGGTGCTTTTCTAAGGTCTGGGGGATTCAATTTTTAGCTCTGCTCACTTTATTACAATTTATTCCTTCCTTCAAGGGCAAATATCTACTAAGTTTTCCTGGATGCCAGCTACTGTGATTGAAAGAGGAGTTCACAGTTCACTGAGGAACACAAAGGTGAAGCAAAGTCACTGCTTGCTGTACTCTCATTGCTAGCCACTTGGGTGCATAGGTGCAGACTCAGATACTTATGCTGATCAAATCAGAGGAGGCCATATATTTGGATAAAAAGAAAACAGAATTTATTCAAAGCTAGCTCTGAGGAGTTAAAGGGGCCTATTTACCTCAAAGCATCCTCTCCCTGTTGACAGGTGGGCAAGGGTTTTTATAGGAAGGAACAGAGGGGAAGGGATCGCAGAGAGACCATGCAGCTCTCCACACCTGCTTTCTCTCCCAGCCACCTTCAGCTCATCCTCCTCTTTCTTGTGGAAAACAAACCAGGTACCTGGCCCCCAGGGCTGGCATCTGTGTATCCTGTTTCTCCTCTTCGGCTGAGAGGAGGAAGTGTTGGTTATTACTGGGGGTGGGGTTGGAGAAATTGTTTACCTCTACAAAGAAATATCTAATTTTTAAATTTCATCTTGTAGTGCTGGTCATACTCTGATGAAATACAGGGTTGTGGCCACACAGCATGAATAAGGAGTCAGTACTGGGGACAAGTAAAGGATGGCACCACATTCTCCTCTTACAACACTGCATGAGGAAGGAAGAGTTTTCTGCGATGTGGAACGCAGGTGCCACAAGATGCGATGAAGAACGTAACAGGAGCCAGCTTGGTGAAGGAAGAATGTGAATCACTGCACCCAGACTGAGACAACAAGTGACAGTGGGAGGATCACAAGTCTGAGCCTAGCATGGACAACTCAGTGACTTAGTGAGACCCTGTCTCAACATAAAAATAAAAATTGTTGGAGACGTTGCTCAGTGGGAAGGCCTTGTGTTCAATCCCCAGACACACATGCACACACGCACGCACATGTTTGTGCCCTTGGGGGTTTCTAAACGTCAATGTCCTGTCCTTCATAAGTCTGGAGAGCCTGTGGAGCCTTGCAGCCTGGTCTGGAGCTTTTGGAATTTCCGTCACCTTTTGTTCATTTACTATCAGCAAAGCCATCTGAGAGTCTATGCTGTTATCAGCAGTAGAGCACACAACCACATGGACAGATCCAGGAGAAAGAGTCAAATATCCATCATTCCAGAGATAAGGTCAAACTCCAAGCTAAGCTCACCCTGGACTCCCTGCTGACTGGGAAGTTCAAGGCATTGTAGGACAAAGCCAAGTTTAAACCTCCCCTGCTTCTAGTTATATGACCTTGGGCAAGCTCATTACCCTCTCCAAACTGTATCTTCCCATTTGTAAAGCAAGGGTCATCATGTCTAACGCACAGGGCTGAAATGACAGTAATTGAGGCAAAGTTTATAACATCACTAATGTGGGGTCTGAGACACAGCAGACACTCAAGGCGGTTGTTCCTCTCTCCTGCCCTCTTGGCTCTGCCTTCCATTTCATTAGCCAGATCCCTAGGGTTTTTCTAAAATATTCCTGGCTGTGAACCATTCACTACTGTGCTGAGAACCCTCAAGGAGGGGTAAACTGTGTAATGATGAATTTCCACAGACGTGAAAGTTATTATTTTTGCACGCTCATGTGGAACTATCAGTTTTAGAGAAAAGTCAGCTTGCATAGCTGAGCGATCCCACTAGCTTCCTTCTTCTCTAAGTTGCATTTTATTTTATTAAAAGCAGAGCAAAAAGCCTTATTTCCCTCTTTGGATACTAAAAAAGACAGATTAACCCAAAGGAAATTCAGCTGAAACTATATTCAGTACTTGAGATCCTGAGCCCAAGATGGCTTCCTGTGACCCTGGGCAGCCGCAGACACGCTGGTGGCTGGATCCCAGCCTTTTGTGATTCACAGCTGGGTCAGGAGCAAGGGCCTGGCCAGCAGAGCAGTACATGTGGAATCAGAGTGACCTTGAGCCCGGATCCAGGACACGCTGTCCTCCTGAGCAGCACACTGGTTGTGAGGATGGTGCTACACTGGTTGTGAGGGTGGTGACGCACTCTGGCCCCATGGACCTTAAACTGAGGGCAGGGTTGGAGGTGAGAGTAAAAAAGAGGATTTACAGCATAGTCTCCACCCTTCTAGATTTTAACACACTTTGGATTGGGGTTTTTAACAATTTTGGATGTTGTTGGAAATCAGGCTAAGTATGAATTTGGACTCAGAAGAATATTTTCACATATGTAAACTGAAATAAGATGACAAAAGAAGGCAATGTCAGAGAGGCAAATGGAGTCTCATGCATACAGGGAGGGATACGTTCTTGCAGTGCAGAGGTCTGGACGGGTTGTCATGGTGGTGAGGTGTCTGGAGACTGTGGAGCAGTGTGAAGGACCCTTGAGACAGTAGGGAAAGGCATTCCTTGGACAGGAACCTGAAGGAGCCAATGGTTAGAAGTAAAGGAGAGCAGGTGTGTTAATTGGGGGAGGCTTGGCCTTGGCAGGAACACTGAGCCCTTGTGACTAGGTCCTGCTCTGTCTCTTAGAGTCCATGCCAGCAGCAGATGGTGACGGAGTTTGCAGTGAATCATTGATCCTTTTCTCAGGCCTGTGATGGGAAAGTAAGCCCTTAGCATTGATTCCCTTGGCAGTGATTGAAAAGGAAGTCATTGGGCATTAGGGGCCAGGAAAGACCTGGGAAGAGGGTACCTCAGAGGGGTTCCTCTTTGCACCAGAAAGACAGTGTGCCAAGGAGTCTGGAATTTGAAGGGGGAAGGAGCTCACTCACCATCAGGGCTGACAACTCCAGGGATGATGCTCTTCCACCTGCCAGCCACTCAGTTACTCTGGAGGGACAAGTCTCTGGCAGACATTGATTCCATGTGAATGTCAGCATGGCAGTACTTTAGGTTTCAAGGGACACTAGGTTTTGTCCTCAGATTTAGCTCATCACTAATCACAGCCATTCTAGAATCCAGGGAAGGCCACCATTACCACAGGCCTCGTAGGAGGTCAGCCTACCAGGGGATAGGGAGCCCTGGGGAGAATGTGCCCAGCACACTCACTCAGTTCAGACATAATGACCTGGTCAGCAGAGTCTGCTATGCGCGGGCCTCTGGGACCAAGCTGAAGGACTGTAATCACTTACTGCTGGAGAGAGAAACAGTGGCGGCAGCAGCCGTGCCCGTTTGTGAAGGATTTAATTGCACCAGGTGCTGTGCTAAGCACTTTCACACCTTCCATTGCTAAATCTATAAATGCTGCTAGGTGTAGTCTAGTTGCTTGTGCGGAGCCAGGCCTGTGGGAGGACCTGCGCCAGACTGTTCCTCTACGCATCACACATTAGTATGGGAAAACAAAACCAGAAAAACAAAAAATATAGAACACCAATGTCATCAAGGTCAACAACTTCTAGCAGTCAGATTTCACAATGAGGAAACTCAGGGTTCCAGTGACCTTGGCTAAGACAAAATATGTTTACACTGGAGTCTGAGCATCAGGAGCAGTAACTAGGTGATACCCACCGCGCATCTGAATGTGAACAGGGGACGATGCAGATGCCTCCAAGTGCTGGAAGGAGGCATCTGTAGTGGGAAGACCACCCGAGACATCACCAAAGGACTTCCACGTCTACAGTGGGAGCTCACATTAAGCAGTTTCTCCTTTAACACAATCCAGATACATTGTATAGAAGTCATGGAGAGTAGGGAAGGCTATTTCCCATGGTTCATTGCATCTCCCAAGGTCTGCTCTTTCCCATATAAAATGAGCAGGATAATGTTGACTTTCCCACTTGGCCATAAGGATTAAATGAGATGACATAAGACAAGTTTGCCAGACAGGCTGGCAAACCATAGGTGCTCAATAAATATACATTTTTCTCCATTCTTCTTCAGAAGAATTTTTAGAGGCTGTGTAGATCTTTTTGAAGCTTTATGTAAATTTATGTGAAGTGACATTCAATGAAATCACCCATCTGTATGATCCCTTTAATTCTATCCGCAGCTTCAGTAAAATTGAAATTTAAATCATACATTTTATTTAATGGTACAACTTAGATGTCAGGAGAAGAAAAAAGAGAAAGGAAAAAGAAACTGTATTAGGAAGAAAAGACCTTAGCACTAAAAATAACTATTTGAAGGGTGAAAGAGCTTTTGTTAAATGGACTCTTATCCTTAAAAATGAAAAAGAAATCCAAATTAATCCAAAGATTTAGATTCAAATCTGTTTTTGAAAGAGAAAATGGCCTGCATTTGGAGTTTTCTATTCAATGTTAAAATTCTTTTTGTCTTAGATTTTCCTCCACTATTTCTCCTTTATTTTTTTTTTCAGTTAATATTATCTTATTATACAAATATATTAAAGATTATATATAATGATTAATTTTATAAAACCACATCTTTGGACAATTTTGGTAAAATTATTTCAGGCTTTAGATCTAAGTACTTAAAAAAAGATGTCCATCTACATTTAAAAATTCAGTCATTAATTTATTCATTTACTCATGCATTCTTTTTTGTAGTACTGAAGATTGAACCTAGGGCCTTTGCATTGAGATACATTCCCAACCCATTTAATATTTTTATTTTTAGATGGGGGTGCTAAGTTTCCCAGGCTAGTCCCTAGCTTGTGATCCCCCTGGTTCAGCCTCCCAGAGTATAACTGATGTGCACTTCCATGCCAGTCCCCCTCCCCCAAAATTATATTGACATTGGGTTTAACATATTAGTTAAAAATTACATTGACACTGGATTTAATATATTATTTAACATATTTCATAATTACTAGAGAAAAACCACAGATAGCTGAATTAGTGGTACCTGATTGTAATGCCAGCACTTGGGAAGCTAAGGGAGGGGATCATGAGTTCATGGTTAGCTACATGACCTTGTCTCAAAAAAATCAAAACAAAAGCCAGGCATGCCAGTGCACACCTGTAACCTAGCATTCAGGAGGCTGAGGCAAGAGGATTGCCATGAGTTCTGGTCTAGTCTAGGCTACATAGTGAATGAATTCAAGGCCAACCTGAACTACATAGTGAGAACCTGTCTCAAAAAAACCAAAACCAAACAAACAAAAAGAATCCCCCCAAAAGGATAAACTATAAGATACAGAAAATTATAAAGAGGAAAGTAAAAATTGTCCTAAATCCCATTACCAATGGATAGCCAAATTAAATTTGTAAAAGCTTTTGTATACTGAGGATATTCACCTTAAATAGGTCATATATATTTGTAAGTATGAGTTCATAATTTGTCCTCTGTCATTCAAAATTTTAAATGGTATACGTCTTTCCAGTGAAAATCTCTTTCTTTCTTTCTATTTTCTTTCTTTCTTTTTTTGGTACTGAGAATCAAACTCAGGGCGTCACAAGGATTAGGTAAGTGCTTTACCACTGAGCCTGAAAGTTTGCCAGCCTGAAACTTTCATTTATATACAGCAAAATCTACTACTGAATTCTATTTAAAATTTTTTATGTTATAAGAGTCTGTCCATCCCAAAATTATGAGAAATTTCATTTACTTTCTGGTTTCATTTTTATACAAACTTTTGATGGTATTTGTGGATTTTATTTGATATAAAAAGAAAGAGATTTGGACTCAGGCTCACTTCTTCCAAATGGCTAGCCAGGGTTTCCCATGATCATTTCTTGAATAATGTATCTCTTCTTTATAGAAAGGTTCTTTTCATAATGTACTTAATTTCCATATGTAGGTGGAACTATACCTGAGTTTTATAGTCTTATCTATGACCTGTCCATCTAATCTCACAGCTGTGTTGACTGGGATGTTCAAAGGATACTTTACTGTCTGATATATCAGTTTTGTGTGCTTATTTTGTGGAGTAAAAATGATTACCATATTTTATGAACAAAGTATTTTATAAAACCATATTTAAAAATCAAATGTTATATATAGAAGAAAGAGAGGAAGGGAGACTGGTGGAGAAACATAAAAAAGAAGGAAAGAAAGGAGGGCAAAGGAGGGAGGAGACAAAAGGGTAGGAAAAAAGAACAGAAAAAGAGAAGTCACATTTCTCTAAGATTAAAGCAATGGAGATTGGAAGTATTCCCACCTTATATCAGAACTGCTATCTGAAATTGGCTTCCGGTGAAATCAAAACAGAAGGGAAGATGGAGGAAGTCTTTTAAGTTGAAATATAACGTTGACGAAACAGCACAATTTCTCCAGGAAGGAAATGGTCCGAAGGAGCCAGGTCTCTGTAAGAGTGGAAAATAAATAAATAAAAGTGATCATACCACAAAACAGAGTCCTTTGGGAGTTAGTCTCTTTCCAGTGGTCGCATCCCTGGGAACCTCAGGGAAGATGGCAATTCCTCCACCCTTGGCTCTCTGCCCAGGCTTCAGCATTGTGGGCTGAAATGTCATTCTGTATGCAGCTGACAGGGGAGCCTCCACTG